TAATATACAAGATAAAAAATCCCTCCAAGAAAGGCACCAATGTGGAACAAAAGGAAGGACTAATCGAGGAAACAAATAAGATCTATGTCAAGGTTAAGGCCTCCTGGGTGAAGAGTCTGGAGTTTATGAATCCAGAACGTTTCACGTTGTGCTAATTTTTTAAGTCTATCACCTCCCCTCCAATAGGGCAATACTCTTTCTATTCCTACACACTTAAAATTGGAAAAAGAGAACAAAGGACAAGCATTACAATGAGTGGGTACAGAGTGAGTTGTAATCTTCTTTTTTATATTGTTCAGATGTTCCATAAATCGTACTTTCAAAATCCTTTTCGTGCGACCCACTGACAGTCACACACAGTGACAGAAACACATACACACACTGACAGACACACACAGTGACAGACAGACACACAGTGACAGACACACACACTGACAGACACACACTGACAGTCACACACACTGACAAACAGTGACAGTCACACACACACACACACAGTGACAGACAGAGACAGTGACAGTCACACACACACAGTGACAGTCACACGCACACACAGTGACAGACACACACACACAGTGACAGTCACACACAGTGAGTCACACACAGACCGTGACAGTCACACACACACACACACACAGTGACAGACACACACTGACAGTCACACACACTTCAACATTCTTGCACACACTCACATAATTTTATTTATTGCTCCCTACCTTTGAGAGCTGGTGTGGGACCTCTCCCTGATCTTCTCTTGGTAGCTCAGTCTTCTTGCTCCTCACTGCTCCCGCACGCGCAGTTTAGTGATTCAGAGAGCTGGAATATGACGTTATATTCCGGCGCCCGGCTTCACTTTAGACGGTGGGCGCAATGGAGCAGTGAAGAGCTGCCGTAAGAGACCTCTCCTCCGGCCGGGTAAATAAGCATAGTAGGCACCTGCAATGTGGGGATTTAAAAAGCATGTCAAGCTCGCGGGCCATAAAAATATTCATTGTGGGATGCCCGCGGGCCGCGAGTTTGACATGCATGCATTAGAAGATTGCCTAATAGAACAACACGATAAGGATCTTGTACACCTGTTCAGAAACCTAAAATTGTCTAATGATTACTGTAACGGAGCTCCCTGTACTCCGACCGAGTACCCTCCGTTGACGGATGCTCCTAGCGCTTCCTGAGGACTCCAAGCAGTGCAGCAGACACCACAACCACCGCAGACTCCGCAACCGCTGTATCTTGACTGGAGTCTCGCCCTCTTCCTTCCACCCTGTATGAACCTCCAACATCCAGGACTGTGTGGTGAAGACCCCACCTCCAAGGAGAGTGTGTCAGGAACAAGCTCTTAAAAGAGCTAAGTGATTCAAGCTCAGGGGAGCATGCAGAGCATAGTAATCCCCAGTGTGATTATAACAGCTCCCTCCAATAATGAGACAAGGCTACTTTAGAGGGATCAAGAAGAACTGTCTAAACCTTTATTTCCCTTGGGACCAGCCCATAGGGTCACCACAATAACATTGGTGTGAAACCTCAATAAAATCAAAAACAGTCAAACCATAGCAGGCAACACACAGTGACTTATCACAACACAATGGCACATTTTTAAAAGGGTAGGGGAGACAATATTTAACAGTAAATATCTCACCTGCCTGCAGAATTAGCAATATGCAAATCCACCCGAATATGCAAATGAACCAGTCTTGCAATTCAGGTAGTGCATGTTGCTGTTGCTACCAACAGAGAGCACTAGACAAGCTCCATAGCCAAACCCACCTAGTTGGTAGCAAACCTCAGCAGTACAGGACAGCAGGCAATACATTACACAGTACACACACACACACACTATAAACAATTACATTACACACACCCTGCACCTATAATGGGTACAGGGTGACTAAAACATAAGATAAATAAAGCAGCCTACATAAATAGTATGTCTGAAGGTAGACTAGGGGCTTTAAAGCCAGATACATGAAAGAGTCATAGTCACAGGGGAGGAGGCTGGCAAGTAGGCCTCTCCAGGACCAAGTGGTGAAGGGCACTTCGTCACAATTACCTTCTGGATATGATCACAGAAGTAGTTAAACGCTCGGCTCGTAATGGGATTAACCTCTGTTTCTAGTAGAGCCCTATGGCTTAAAGCCTGGACGGCCGATACAGCCTCTCGGCTCTTTGTAAACTTCCTTTGGAAAAGAAGGAGCTATTCGGATCTCCATTGGAAGAATTGATTCGACAGATGCCGGAAACTAAGAAGGCACTTTCTCAAGACAGGAAGTATTCCTGAAAGCCTGTATATAAGAATTTCCAGTATAAAAACAGTAGAGGTTATCAAGAAAGATCACGTTTTTCTCGTAGACAAAAGAAAGATCCAATATTTGATAACCGGAAAGACATCAGAACAGATATAGCTAAAATATTCTGATGCCATAAAAGTGGGAGAAAGGATAAAACATTTTGTACACAGATGGAGAGACACCAATTCAGATCCATGGATTTTAAATCTGGAAGCAAATGGTTACAATATCAGATTCTTGGATGCACCAATACCGAATTTCCTAGTATCCTCCTACCCATCAAAGTTAAAGCTTTGTTTTCAGCCACTGTGACGCTTTTATAAAAGGGAGTCAAAGAGAGAGTTCCAAAGGCCCACCAATGTCAAGGGTTTATTCTGGTTCCTGGTTCCAAAAGCCAGATATGTCCTTTCATTCCATTCTAGATCTAAAGGGTATAAACAGCATGATTCCATATCAACACTTCAGAATGGAAACCATTGCATACCTTGTGGCAACACTGCATTTAAAAGACGCATTTGTGCACATTCCTATGAAGAAAGTATCAAGAAAATACGATCTATACAAAATAAGATTTGCCATAAAAAGGGGTTCTGGGAATCATCACTATCAGTACAAAGCCCTACCATTCAGACTCTCCTGGGCAACAAGGATCTTTGCAAAAGTCTTAGCACCTATTACCGCGGTCTTAAGGGAAGAAAGTATCACCATCATTCCCTACTTAGACTTCACTCTCAGAATCTTAAAGGAGCAGGCTTGGATCATAAACCTAGCAAAGTCACAACAACAACCAACAAGGACCATTCAATTTCTAGGTTTTATTATCAAGTCAGAAGACCTGTTGATTCACCTACGTTCTCTGAAGAAAAAGAAGATCAGAAAAAAAGAGAACCAAGATGCACTATAAGAAGAGCCATTAGAGTTCTAGGACATCTCACTTCTGCGATTCTATAATGGGCCACATCGGAATCAAGATTATGACAAAGGAAATCCTTACAAAATGGTCCAAAAAAGAATAAGAATTGGATTTCATGATGGAGATTTCAGATCCTGTAAGAAATCAACTATCCTGGTGCACAGAAACCAGATTTCTTTCAGCAGGCCTGTCATTTCAACGAAAGATTGGATCATCATCACTACCGACGCATCGCATCTAGATTGGGGAACTCACCTTCAGTATCATATGAGACAAGGCATATGATCAGTAGAAGAAAAAGAAGAACCATCCAATTTCAAAGAATTAATGACAGTTTTTGATGCTCTTCTACAGTTCAAAACCCTCATTCTGGAAAAGGCAGTAAGGATACAATCTGACAACCAAACTACTGTCACGTGTATCAAATAACAAGTGTCAGGATTCCCCCATATTACACTCTGCAGTACTTCCTGGTGCACCGATGAGGCCCCACCTAT